GTGGTCTGGTTTTACTTAGGTGAAGAGAACCAGAACCTCATACTTCTTGTAACCGGCTCAAATGTAATAATCATTTCCGCCAAACTTCTCTGGTGTGTGTGCGTATGCCGCATCTAAAAAATTTCCATGCTGTGCTCATCCTTTGCATGTTGAGTCATGGCTCTCCGGGGACGGTGTGGCTAGTTATATTCCATTGTTGTTCCTCATTCATGTGAATAAAAAATGGCACAATATACTTTTTGCAGCTTTTCACCCGACCCACTTCACAGAGGAACAGTATGATTACTTCTACTGCTATGAATATTTTGGTCTTCTGCAAGAACAGAATCCATTTTTGGCGCATCACCATGGGTCGACGGATATTTCGATTGTTGACAAAAGCAAAATCCTTTTTAATAACCTCTAATCAATAAACAAACAACTGTGGAGTGATATAACATTGAGCAGAAAGTCTAAAAACGAAGCAAGTACGTACAGGTGAAAGGTAATCCATTTTAAGCTAAAAATAATAATTCACATATGAAAAAACGCCAAAGTAGCCTTTTTTCTAAGGATTTCCGTGTAAAGATTCAGGTCACATCACTTATTTATGCTTGAATGCATACCGATCAAGTTTAATGTGGAAGAAATAAATTTTTGCTTTGTTTGAAACGCATCCTCTTACAGTTAGCCAAAACCGATTGACCATTTATTTATTAGGTTAGTTTTCAAGCGTGCATGTTCATGGTACAATGGTGTCTTCGAAGCAAGATGGTATGCCTCGAAGTGTTTGTCACACAAAGTTACACATATATTTCAATGATATTCATCGGTTGCTCTCAACAAAACACGAATCTGGTTTTAACAAGAGATTCAGCTGTAGCCAGCTGAACCTCCCATCTACGAGTTAAGTTCACATAGAGCATAGGATTGACGGAAACTTGGCAAATAGAACTAATTCGGACCCAAGAAAGGCGGAACCGGTAGTGAGCTGTAGAAGAATTTCCAAAGGCGTTGTGAGTAGTCTGGTAAGACCATACAGTTCAGTGCAAGTTACGGATCAAAAATTCTATTCATACAGGTTTGACCTCCGCAAAACAGTTTTGGAGATCACATTTTGTGAGAGGAAATTGAACGTTTGACCATGAGCTACTGCGTTATTTGTCGAAGATAGGTTATTTGTTTTCAGTAATGGTTGTTGATCAACTTTACTCCTGTTTTACAACCAGTCACTTTGTTTCATCGTCCATTGAATTGTGTTTAGCTTTCTTCCCAGGAAGCTATCAAGTTTTACTCCCAATGTGTTCGTCAGTGCACCTTCAGGCGTTTGTTTCATTGCATACGTGAGGAAAGTCGAGAAAACGCAGTATTGAAAAATGAATTGATCCTGAGCCAGCAGATAACCCTAGTCTTAGCCAAAATAACTAGATAAGTCTGGTTGGTCGCGGGGACGATACCTGTTGTGACTCATCTGTTTGGCTACCTGCGCATTTGCCACTAGGTCTAATCCAATTCTGACCACTTAAGGGTTCTCCAAGTCTTCGTATGCGTAAGTGGATCAGTTTATTTTTCTGAAAACCTGATAATCAGTGAGTAGATAAGAACGGACTTCTGTAGGCTGATTTCACATCTCTGAGAGTAATAATAATAGTAATCTATATCGCGTCACAACCAGATAGATTTAGCATTAGGTAGATGAAAGAGCTAGGTAATGAAACTTTCAGTCGTTACTAAAGTTGTACTGTGCTCTAAATGGGAGATAGAAGGAAAAGTTGAGTCTTACCTGTGGCTAAAGCAGCAACGTTAAACTTGTAACTAGACCGTTTGATACAACCTGAATGTTAACATTTGGATTTACACACGGACAGTCGTGGGAATGCAGTCTAACATGCAAAGCATCTAGCCTAATCACTTTTAGTTTGGTGAATCTCACATTAAATTTTTAAACCGAATCGTCGAAGGTTATAACGGCATATTTCTTTTTTATACTGGATCGATCTTGAGGTTGTAGAGTTCCCCTGGATCGATTTCTCGATGCATAAATATAATCAGTAAGATCTCAGGTGTGATTTGCAGTATAACTCATTATTCAGGGTAATAACGCATTCCTATTTAACTAACCAAAAGGTCAGCTAAAGCGAAGAAGTGACCACACGCTTTGGTGCGATTCTCAGAGGAACCAGATGCTGGTTCGTCTGACTACCAGTGAATAACCAGAATGTTCTTTCCTCTTAGTCATCGATCCTCGAGAATGTTCTGAAATTTCATCTGATTTTGTGGTGAAGGCGCCATCCGATGCCGAAAATCCCTTAGGTGATAGCTTTCGTCATTATTGAAACTCGTCAGATGGATTTAGATTATTCGGGAACATGGCCTTTTGTTAGACAGTACCATGTTTGTAGTTTTCGGATGAAGTATTCGCCGATCCACTTGTGAAGGAACGATTTTATTTTCCCTGCTTAGGCTTCATTCCAATATATGTTGTGATCCTTGGTCGAAACAACATTTAACTACTCAAGAATGGTTCAAAGGCGGTTCACTGTGGGATGAAATCAAATTGCGGAAGTCGATCGACCGAAATAACGTCGTCAGTGCATTTTTGATGGGCGGAGCAAAGCTATGCACCAGTGGTTGCTCGTTGAGTAATGGTGAATGTATTAGTATCCGTGCAGCCTGCCGGAGCTAACACAAAATAACGTCCAACAGAACCACTCAAATGAACAGCCCATCGTACAAGGTCAGCTCCGACGAGTAACATATGTATAAACACACGCTCTCCACTACTCAACACACAGTCAATGATGCAACAATGCTGTCTACTCCTCAACAACAAGCTGATGATGTCACCTCAATTAGTGATGATTAGATGTTTACAATTAAATTTCATAGAGCAGCTACCACCATCCATTTTATTCAAGCGGGCGAAAAACGTCTGACATGTGTGGATGGCCACTAGAAAGGGCCAAACGCAGCAGGTTTATTTTCCGTGGTTCAAAGCAAATTTGCATGCTATTGTAAAATAAGTGCGATTGATTAATGCATCGGGGAGTGGATGGCACTTATAGGATACTCCGTTTAATCCAACCAATTGCATTGGGTTGCGAAGGACCTGATGTTTTGCGTAGTCGGATTTACGTTGTGACACTAAGGTAATCAGTCCACAGAACCCATTCGAACAACTCACCCGCTACGCACCACTACACTCTCTAACAATGCACTGAGGATTTCACCTCGATTGGTGATAAAACTTTTGCAATCAAATTGCCAAGCTTAGCAAACAAACCAACGACCATAAACTACTCTTTCAGAGCCTAAATAGATTTCCGTTGTTACATTTGTCTGCAAACATACCAACCATTGCTTGGAACCTCCAGGTATTCCTCCATGAGTACTGACCTGACGCACTCAAAAGCTTCGTACAAGGGTTTATGATTAACAGTGTGACTAAGTCAGAAGTACTAACGGCCATCACGCGAATGCTGATCACACGACCACACTAATCCTAGAGAAACTATGGCTAATTCTGGACTCGAGTCATTTAAGGCGGAATGCTCAATTCTCCTTTCTACATTTCGGACTTCTTTAACAACAGAAACGTCTTAGCAACAACAATCCGAGAAACCCTACAGCTGAAACAGCATCATTACTGCTCCGAATGAAGCTTCTTGTAGCTGTGTCCGAGGAATGAGCTATAGTCGGTGAGTAGAACAGGAAAAACATATGGAGGATACAAAGTTTGTATTCTATTGCAGTGCTTCAATATATGCACCTCATGAGAATGCCAGAAAAAGGTTTCTGTTGTACAACATCTGAACGTTGATATCGTTCGGAAAACGTGGAAGCAAATGAATTGAGGTACAAATGCATACTAGTGTAACCTAAGTATATCGAGTCCCAGTGCCTCTGGCATGCTCAGTAGGGTGCATTTTTGTTGAAATGGGAACAGTCATAAGTAGGGTTTGTTGGTAGTTTGTGAATATTCTTCGAAGTTATCGCCCTTGTGTAGTAGACACCACGTTCCGGGATGCTCCTAGGCTACTTGGTTAATGGGTTTCTTATTCAGCGCGTTGGTCAAGTGAAAGGAATGCAAACAACTGTCTTAGTAATCCCCTCACTATAACGGTTGTTACTCAGCTTCCCAAATGAGCCAATTCAACGAAACTTTTGGAGTCGCTCTGGATTTTTCAATCACCAGTAATAGCAGGACCTAGCTTTACATTCTCACACCGTTTAGAACAAATTGCTCTTCATACAACAAACCACAAGCGGTAATTAGTCACCACTCTGTTTCGCGCTATGACAGATCTGACAACACTGATTGTAAGCTCCTACCACTCTCGGCTTCTTGCTCGTGTACACCCATTTCTGTGTACATCTGTCAGCTGTGCTCAACAACTCATTTGCAAACACATCTTTTTATTCATCTCATTCAGACAGCGTTGCCACAAACTCACTTGGTGTCTCTACGCACACAGACACGCTTGAATGCACCGGAAACAACAAAGATTTGCGTGCATATTTCCGCTTCCCTCTAGGTTAATTCGCAGGAAACATGTTAATAGATGCACGTACCAGTTTTCCTGGCTCATATGCATGCAATGTCCTTTCAGACGGGGATCCACAATGCCGGACACACAGGTATAACGTGGAATATAGATTAACTGAATGTGACAAACAGACGCACAGACAAACACGGGAAACTTAGATGAGCACACTGCTTGACTAAGTTGAGCAGCACTCATCACAGTAGAATACATCTGGCGAATAGCAACCAACGTTCGGTCTTTTGTCTCTACCGCGTGTGTTTGTGGGTGTGACTGAATTGGCTGACTTGCTGAATTCGCTGTCGAATAGAATGGACTGAAAAGCTGCTTGGACATGGAGTGAGACAATCTGAACAAGAGCTGTCAAGTCATTGTAGGGACATCCCTCTATTTGTAATTTTGTGGTTTAACGTACATACGCGGGATTGTGGCCGTCCGAAAAATTACCCAGCGGAGTTACTGGAGGCTGGCAAAAATATGTATCAGTTGTTTTTCACAGTATTTTGGAATATTCTTAGCTGCAATGCGCACAACAACGACAACATTGTACTGTCCGTCAGTATTCCAGAAGAACACCCTGTTGGAAAGGTGATTCTTGGACTTCCTGAAGCCATTGCCAAATATGATCATGCACCTTTTGGATCATACGCTTCTACAAACACACAGATTCACTTACTTCCAACGCATGACTGGTCATTATTTCGGCTAACTGCTGACGGTATGTTGATCAACAGCAAACGACTAGATCGAGAGCAACTGTGCCCTTCGGTAAGAGATCGAAAGACTGGTACTTTCTCCAAGACTGATGAACTTCACCCGCATAATTCGGAATCTGATTCAAGTTGTACTTTGTCCGTTCGAGCAATTGTGTATGAGAACATCTCGGTTGCCAATCAGATTGAGACAACACAGGTAAAATGGAAACGCCGACTACGACCATTATTGATTCGAGTGACTCTGCTGGACGTAAACGATAACCGCCCGGTTTGTAGCCTTGATTTCCCCCTGACGACGGTGGCTGACTTGCGTGGGAAAAGACAAACCGATGGGAGCACTATTGAGCTGGCAGAAAATACTGCTCCCGGCACAGTGGTTGCGAAATGGACCCTGACCGATCCAGATACCCAGGAGAACGGAATTACTGAGGCACGTATCTTCGGGTACCGAGATGGATACCCGGGTATTGTTGCCAGTGAACTTCCCTTCCAGCTGCAGTTTGACGAAGCGATAGGTCCCTGGAATCGCATTGGTTTAAAACTAATATTGACTCAAAGAATGGACTTTTCTACCATTAGACGATCAGATATTTCTCAAGGTATGAAAGAAGAAATAGAATCATACGACTTGAGAATTGTGATCTTGGATTCATCGAGCGGACAGTCAGGAAGTCGGAGTGATGTGATGCTTTCTGCTTCCTACAGTTCGATCTGTAGCATCAAAATTCGAATTATTGATGTAAATGACCACAGTCCCACATGGGCAAGCCCACCATCGTTTGCAAAGAACGAGGTTGTGGAAATAAACCTCATCGATGGGAAGGTATATAAGAATCGAGAAATTTTGCGTCTTAAAGCGCGAGATGATGATCTGGGATCGAACGCGCGTATTTCCTATCATTTTGTGTCAGAATTGAAAAACTCCAGTTCTGTTTTATCCGACTTAACATCGGTTGAAGCAGAATCTCATGAGGAATCTACTCTGATTCAGCGTTTGTTTTATTTGGATCAACTTACTGGGTCTTTACAACTGCGCAGCGCGTCGGTCGATTTTGACCAGCTCAAGGAGTGGATGTCAAACATAAGGACGGATGATGCTACACGGGGAAAGTTACCTATGCGAATGAAAGTTTTTGCGGCCGACAATCCTATCAACCGAAGTGAACAACGTCTCTCACCCCTAGGCAATATAATAGTGTGGTTCACTGACGTAAATGATAATCCGCCCGATATCAAATTGATCGCATTGCACCGACCTACTCATCATCAAACCACTGAAGTACAAGTTTCTAAGCATCGGGATGTTATTTCTGTGAGCGAAAACTTACCCAGTAGAGAGCCAATCGCATTCGTTTCAGCTACTGATCCGGATAGCATTTCAGGAAGCCAGGTGACCTGTGAACTTTATGCTGACCACGCACAAGATTCACATGCCAGCATTCCACTGTCCCGGGTTTTTCAGCTAGTGCAGTTCACCCCAGATGGTGATCAGTCGGCTCTTCCTGAGCGTCTCTCATCCCGAATGGAACAAGTCGTTAGTAATTACAAGTTAATCACGCTCGTTCCCCTAGATCGAGAAGTTCAGTCCAGTTATCGAGTAAATATTACTTGTGTTGACGGTGCAGCACTTTCGCCCGATCTGGCGGCTGACTTGCAGTCCTCGCAAACAACCAAACTGACGTCCTTCCGGCTGGTAGACGTAATCGTCACTGATCTGAATGACAACGCTCCACAAATCACTGGTACCAAAGATGTTCTGAGAGGATTGTCGGGCCAACAGACGGAGAAAGGTGGTGACACTTTACACTGTAGTGTGAAGGAGCACTCTCCTGGTGGAACCAAAATATGTCAGTTGTTTGCGAAGGATGCTGACTCAGATGCCCTAAATAGTATGGAATGGTGGATGGAAAAATCCACTCAGCATTTTGTGAACATTGAGCGCGGAAGTGGCTGGCTCACGGTAGAAAGTGATGGGGTTCGGTTTTTAGAATCTCAGGGCGCTGGACGGCTAGATCTGGATCGGGAAGCGATTCAACGGTTTTCTGTGGTAGTTTTTGTCCGAGACAGTGGATATGATGCAGAGCATAAAATAGTCCGTCTGACTGCGAGTGCAACGGTGAACATCAATGTGCTTGATATCAATGATAACGCTCCAAAGATATCGGAATATAACTATTTCCACATTTCCGAATCTGCAGCCGCCGGAACCCTCATTGGAACGCTTTCAGCCATGGATGAAGATCAACCGGACACACCTAACTCTGCACTTAGTTACCACGTTGCCTCATTAAAGGTGCAGCAAGAAGTATTTTTTCGAGAGAAATATGCGGAGGATTTCGAAATTCTATTTGTATCGGATACAGGAGCGAATCGAACAACAAACAAGCTGCGGGATATTACAGTGAGTAAACGTTGCTTAAATCACCTCCTTATGGAGACTAATGCCGAATCAGAGTATATTTCGTCACATACTTCTTGTTCCTTCAAGGCTTGTTAGCAGATTTGCATTTGCTGATGGTAGATCATTGTCAGCATGAGATTCTAGAATGATTTTCGCCGACCAGCTATGTAGAAATATTTGATATAATCAAGAGAAACAAAACCAGTATAGAGGACAGCTGATAATAATGAAAAAATCAGCAGTACCATGCAATTCCCTCATCAACCGTTCAAGACCACCTCATCATCTCATGTGGTAAACTGCATGCTGTTTCTATTTTAGTGCTGTGTGACAAAATCTTGGAATAACGCTTTTAGTGGTTGGCAGAAAACCTGAAGCTCACGGCTTTCATTTTATTCCTCGTCCTTGCCTGGCATGTGTACAGTCACGTGATTTGAAACCAACTCTCGTGCGAGCAATATGACACTGGATGCCGGCCATATCTGAATCAACCCATTTACCTCAGATGTCTAGCAACCTTAGATTAACTCTCAGTAGTTTTAGGCAGATTCACTGTGTGTGATCTCTGGAAGTGAGAAAACCACTCTATGTTTCGAACAGGATAAAATCACCACATTAGGACAAAAGACGGTTGATTTTAATAAAATATCAGCAGGTCGCATTGGAAACAACTTGTTTGCATGCATCCTATCATCTCAAGTACCTAACTGTCAAACTACTTAGAAGTGCAACAGGTAATGACCGGGCCACTAAATCGTTTGGAGTTAGCGTCGGATGCCAGGAGACGTCCATTTCCGAGATTTTATTCTGCATATTGGGCGGTTCCAAGTGTAACCTGTCTAACGTGGATCAAAACCTGAAAATTACCCAAGTTTTGTCAAAAAGCAAAAGTATTTGCCCAACTTACTGTGTTCATCAACGGGCAGCTTTATTAAATGTATTGGCTTCAGTCACCATAGAAAAATGTTTTCAACACTCCTAACAAGGCCTTATTGGAGCGTAATGCCTTTGGGAAAAGTGTGTACCAGTCTTTGATACCTAACGCCTTTGTTGTTAAAACGTATTAAAAACGTATCGCAACCCCCGTTCCCCGGAACTTCCGGCAGGCGCCTTCCAGTAGGTCAGAGCGGCAGTCAGATAGATCACAATATTTCCATCACATTAAAGAGTTCCGGATTCACATTCAGTTTGCATTCAAACGATAGGATGTCGGTGGATCGTGCAAGTTAACTGAAATGCTGAAAGATTATGTGTTCGTCCTCATGAACTAGGTAGACAGATGATTGGAAAGGCGAAAAAATTCAGCGTCATCCGCGGGGCTCATCTCAAGGTTTAACCGAGAAAAAGTAGTTTGCATTCCATGAGGTGCATATGTTAGAAGGAAGAGAAATGGTATCAAAGTTATTTATAAATCAGCTTCCGGAATCAAGTAATTGAGCTCCCAACTAAAGCACCTTAAATGTTTTATTATTTCAGTTTTGATCGGGGCAGATTAACTCTGTGTAGGAATGTCATTGGCACTTCGTATACTTAAAGTGAAACCGGTTTGCCAGCATTTCAGTTGCAAATTTAGGTCGCCGTCGTGAACCACAAGCACATGTACGGTGCAGAGGTGTATAACATCTGCGGGGGAATAACAAGCTGACTTACTCTAAAAGGTGGTATTCAGTTCTGAAGTTTACTAACCTGGGTACACCAGACTAACTTTGCTATTTTGATTGCCTCCGGTAAATTAAGAAATTTTTTAGTTGTGACTGGGGTGTCACCATTCGCAACCGCTTTTCACGTTCACGAGCGTAAACGCTGCGTGCGAAGTTTTTTGGTTCTTGGACCAGGTGTTGTAATATTTTGAGGTGTTTTTAGAAATACCTAAAGAAGAGTCTTTTAGAAGAATGCTTTCACTGTTACCAGCTCATCGATCTTCAGCACTGTATTTCCACAAGATTAGACGACAAGAATAAAGAAGCGATTTGAACGAATACTCAACCGAGGTGACTCACAGTCTGAGCCAAGCCTTAATATGGGAATGTAACTTGCGCTGCGATGATAAAACAATCGCATGACTCACCGTGGTTCGCCATGTGTATTGCCAAATCTGTTTAATAATTTGATGTACACGGAGTGGTTAGTTCAGGGGCAAACTGATTAAGTTAGCCGTCCAAAGTGCCCCGCGCCAAGAATTACGGTGACCTGGTGGGATGTTTATGGATAGTATCAAATAGGGATTCCCCGGACCACAGTGGTCAGGCCACTCAGGAGTCTATTGTGAGCCACCAGCCCCCGAGAATTTCAGTGGGCATTTCAAAATGACGTGAAATAATAATAATATATTATTTACGCAGATTCCGCCTGGTCGTTTCTGTCATCTGTGAGTGGCTGGTGATTGATTTGAAATTAATGTCTTCCTCAGTATAAGAAGGAACTCTCACGATAAGGACAGTTTCAGAGCACTGAATATTTTACTTTTGAATCCTTAGTTGAAAATACTCTCATGAGTCAATGAAGAGATACTCCGTACGTTTCCACGATCCACCAAAAGCAACTAAGACAAGAAAATGTCTCATTTATTCGTGGTTCGTCATTGGTGCATCTATTCACCTTGCCTGAGGCTAGATTCAACCAACAGATTAGGTACACGTAAGCATTACCCCCATAGGTATCATAAGGCTGACAACTAGGTTAAATTATCGCAACATAATCCAATAATTTTCGGATTTCTAATAAGTGCTGTTGATTGTGTTGTTGTGCGCACACAAGATCAGGCGCAGCTAATTGATAATCCTGTCCAATCCTCAAAAAATATGTGTGAAACACCCATACACAAATGATATTTTATTATGTTAATGTGTTATATGTTACGTTCCTGAACTGCTTCAGACGCTCGTTATAGTGTTCCCCAAAAAACGAAAACAGTGCGCTACACTTCGTTCTGGAGAGGCAAATCCAGGGCCAGTATTTCACCTGAAATATTTGTCAGCTATATGGGAATATACTGACCCGAATCAGCCTAAATATGATAATATCACGAGAGAACAACTCATCAGGCATCCAAGAGTGTCCATTGCGTGACAAATACGATTTGTCTGTTCTACTTCAGTGAATTCAGGTTAGCTCATGCGTTGCATCCTTTTCTGTTCGTGCTTCAGAATGAGACTGCACTAGCAAAAATTCGTAAATGGGGAAGAACAAGTAGTTTTGCATTTTGATGCAGGAAAGCTAGTTGCATAGACCGTGTGGATGCACGACAAATGACTCTAATGCCCGTAGGTGCGATGTGCAGCAGTCTGTCGCGTTTTCAATTGACTGTATCATAAACGCATCCCAAGTGCTCCAAGGCAGGCTGATATATTTATATATCTATACGAGTTGATTGACTTGCATCACGAACTGAAGGGTTAAGCGTCCAAATATCACATTCTGTTTATTAGTGTTGTTTTCATGAGTTCAGTAATACTTGACTGAAAGTCGGAAAGCTAAATGGATTGAAGCCCATAACTGGCCGAGGTATTGCCTAATATAAACTGACACCACAACCCATTGGACAATATATTTAAAATTGGGCGGGTTAGTGTATTCTACTTCAGACTGATTTTGGCCATAGTTTGTCTAGTGGCGTCATCTGAAACAAAAAATACTTATCGTTTTTAACGAGTTTCTGGTTCCTAGAGATGATTTCTCAGAATAAAAAGTTTTATCTAAGAAGCTGCTCAACAGAACACAGTCAACTCTTCACATGAGCTGATGCGGAAGATAAATTTACGTAGCAAAGCATCTAACGTCTAGTGTGCCGGAATTTCCCCTTAATAGACTTGGGAAAGAGCATTTGTGACGAGGCACAATGGACACAATGACAGTGGTAAATCCATTCAAACCAGATGTAGAGGTGGTAAAATATCAGTTTTTAACAGAGCTTCATTGCGTTCAGTAAACCTAAAAGCACGTTATCCAATTATCTAAACATGAATGACGGTATTCCCTGTGTCACACAAATATTGGCTGCACAAACGCCAGTGCTATGGCAAACAAATCTAACATTATGGCAGAACATAGAGTGTTTCCAGGACTGATCAAATCCAAAACCTGATAAGCACAGAAAACCAAGTCTTTTAAAGGAGGCTCAACTCCAACTGATTATACTTCATTCGGTTTTGCAGAGTCTTATACTGGCTCACTGTTTACTTGTCCGATGTGCACTTAATGTCTTAAAAACCAGACTGCCCTGCTGTTACAAATGACAGCTGAATTGATCGCACGGTTTGCTGTGTATGACCATGCAAATAAAACAGCATGCTTTCTTTCGACTTTTCCCCTCATCCGCCAGCTTGTTTCCCCAAAAGGAAGAAGTTTAGTGGATTTCACCTGATCATTCTGTGTAAACGTTCTGCGAATGCCATTCACTGTGATGACGGTTAACGCTCTCCGTGAGAATGCAGGCAAACGTCACCTTGCAATGCAAGTCAGTAGAACTCTTTGGTAATTAACAGGATCATTTTTTGTTGGTCTTGGTAAAAGCATTTAAGACCAGTCATTAACTTTTACCCGGACCATTACGTTCAAATGGAGTTACATCCGATAAACACTACCGGTTCGAGACAGTACCCTATCTGAAGAAAACTGATGAAGATGACACACGCGCAATGTTTGACATTATTCGAATCATCGTAAATGAAATTGCACCTTCAACGTACCACCCTAAAAAGTTGTAATTCTAAACCTCGAGTTTATCGAAATCTGACGACTGCGAGAAACTTATCCGGCAAAATATCGTCAAACAAAGGTTCTTTCAGTTCCACTGTTGGGTGCCGATGAGTTCTGTTTCGCTCCGCGGGATCAGTAGATATCAGTAGAACGATTCACATATCAAAACTGAGAGTACAATTAACTTACTTTGATATCTCGAATAATAATTTTAGTGATAACGTGAGGTTAACATCTGATGTTGAAACTGGAAGGACTGACGGATTTTCTAGCAGGATAAAAATTACTAGCCATGCACTTAC